TACCATAATATGTTTCTTGTAGATTTATTAACCTAGTGCAGCAGGTCGCTTGTAAGTGCTCTTAGAAGTAACTGCGGGATGTCAAACCTAAATATTAAGCTTAAAGTATCTTGTACAGCCTGCAACAAGACAATCTTAATAAAGAATTACTAGCAAAACTGCCAAAGTTGAAAAAAATAAATAAATAGAATTTATTGAAGATTGTTCGCAAGTTTTAATATAAAATTTAAACGCATACACTTATATAAATTAAAATTTTTTAAACAATAAATATTATTAATATGCTTTAGCTTTAATTTTAAAACACTTAAATGCATATATATAGCAAAATTGTTAAAAAATTTATACAATAGTTTTTCAAGCTAATATCAATAAATAAAACGTTCATAAATTTGATTGGCTAATATTACATGCAAATAAAAATCAGATTACGTCCGCCGGGGTTAAAACAAAAATCCGATCATCCAATCAAAGGATTTTTAACCATGCCACACTATTGACTGCATAATTTCTTAGAAAATTGTTGATCGTCTACGTAACTCCTGCATGCAATAAAAATTTCTTAAAACGAATTATATGATTAACTATTTAAGATATAGTTATATAGCTGTGCCGATGGTTTGGATCATGTGTCCCGTACTTTTGGAGGTCGCCCTGGCTAATTCGTTTTTATCGATTTGTATTACTACTATATGGTACTCTTAATGCCAATCCCTTTTCACCTTATACAGCATGCATAATTGCTTGTTTCAAATAAAAATTAAGTAATGAGAAATTCTTGGCTAATTGAACATTATATTGTTTTCTAGAATATAATTTTAATTCATGGCTTTAGGATATTATAATCGCTTCTGCATACATTCGGATCATTTACGCCAAGAAATTATGTAGTGATTTTTTACTAATTTTAGACTTAACTATATGAGTGACGAATTTCACTCATTGAGTGAAATGATTTACAGGTTATCATTGTGAAGACGAGAAAATAGATGTCTTGGCAATAAAATCAATAAATCGGATGATAAAAAAAACGGGTTTAGAATATTTATTAATTTTATATATAAAATTATCTAGAATATTCAAATTCATTTGTATAGATGCACCCCTGCCTTAATAAGGGGCATGACAACATCATTTTCATACGTTATATAAAGGGATGTTTTTTTTCGTCAGATCTTTAAACTTCTCTCTTTCCAAATTTATTCCTTACAAATTTTACCGTTTTTCTTGAAAATTCATTAATTTTTCTTGAAAAAATTCATAAATTTAAATTAAATTCGTCATGGCAGTTGCACAAGAACACTGGGTACGTTTCCATAGAAAAATATTTGTGATACAAATGTTACAAATATTGACTATGCTTTCTTATTAAAACAGGCCGCTAAATGGATTAAATATGATGGACGTCTCCCTCCTGAAGCTTTTTGTGTAGACAATCGTGCTATTGGTCGTGGAAAATATGAGGGTGGCATTCACATTGGTTATGTTGATCAACATCAACATAAATTAATTATTGGTTGGGGTTGGAAGCAACATGAATTACATGATTTTGAAGTTTTGTGTGGTGATTATAATCAATTTAAATGGCATCATTGGTAAATTTTTAATCAAGTAATTCAAGTTATTCAAGTAATTCAAGCAATTACAAGTGCAACTCTAAAATCACCAATTCTGAATTTAGTCAGGGAGCCTGTCGACCACAATTCTTCATCCCTTTGAAAGCTGGCCATGAAAGTGATGGAAAAGAATTATATATCGCCAAAACCCACTATGAT